TCACAGCTTTATTTTCTCCTGCAATGGCCTCCGCCATCATTAACAATTCAGCCTCTAAAGGATCTGATGGAGTCTCTCTTTTATATTATCAATAGTTTTCAACAGTTTATCAGCATTATTACTGGCTACAGGTAACCACATTGGTACAGGGACAGGCAATGGTGTAGGGATGGGTGTTGGTACATATGAATTGTACATCTGAACAGGTACTGGCACATAAATGGGAACAGGAACTGGAATCAAAATTACCTTAGGTCGAAAATCTTCACCTGAAAGAAAATTACAGTTTTAATAAAACTGTAACCAGTGGTCAGGGTGGTTCCCAGTATCTATCATATCATTTATGAATATTTAATAATATCATAACCAGATACGAGTTGATATTTTGATAATATATACATTGTCAGATATCATCAATATAGCACTAATTACATGACTTAAACTGCAATAGTGCATGATATATTACATTAAAATTAATAAGGTCACATGACCATATATAATCAGTTCATATCTCTTGTACAGTGTGTTAGTTTAAAATGTGTGTGTCGCATCATGACAGGGTTTTTTAAAGTTATATGTATGAATTCATAATTTGTTTTGTTTTTTAAATTACCATTCTCATGAAAAAAATCAAAATAACAAGTGACCTAAAGGTTGAAACAGCTCAGCTGTCTTTGTCATGTCTTCGGCAAAACAAAGTTGATAATCTTCTGTATGATAAAATAGTCGCCATTTTCCAGGGTTCTTAATGTTCCCACAATGTTCTTGCCATAGCAATTACTTCTTCTTTGAAAATTGAAGATATTGTCATGAAATTAAAAAATTTGACTGCGGCCTAACCAAGGTACCTACATACCAAGTATCAAAGCAATTGCACGATAGCTTTCAAGAAAAAGTTGAAAATGTAATTTTTGACAGACGGACGAACATAAGGATGGACAGATATGACAAACAATCACATATATGAACAGCTCTGTTCATCTTCCTTGACAGTGGAGGTAGAAAATAATAATGGATACTGAGGCATTATGAGAAGGATAATCAACAAGCCATGCATGGCACAGTCCCCGTTAGTTATCAAATTTAAGATATGTAGTTTTGTTTATAGTAATACAGCTGGAACATAACCATGTCAGGAATATGATTTTTTAACATTAAAATGATTGACATTTGTATCTGATCGTCAAACAAGTACTTGTCCATATTGAGAGATATTGCTCTGGAACAGCATTCAAAATCAGCCATTTTGAATACATGTATATATATAACATGATGTATATCAAATATATAAAATTTGAATATAATCAGTCAAAGCATTTAAGAGATATGGCTCTAGAAGCCCAATCATTAAAACAAAATGGCCGCCAGTCAGCTATTTTGAATCCAATCTGAAAAATAAAATGACATGCATCAGGAACCTGTAATGTCTAACGTGTGAACACAATCCATCCATAAATGCTAGAAATGCTTGATATTCGAGGATTTTTTTAGCACAAAAATAGCACACTTTGAAAAAGATCATCAAACCAATATATCCGTATATCTGTGACATGATGTATAATGAATATTAAAAATTTGAACATAATCAGTCAAAACAAGTCAGACATATGGGTCTGGAAACCCATTCATTAAAACAAAATGGCCGCCAGTCAGCCGCCAGACAGCCATTTTGAATCTGACCTGAAAAATAAAATGACGTGCATCAGGAACCTGTAATGTCTAATGTATGTACCAAGTTTGAACAAAATCCATCCATAAATGCCAGAAATGCTTGATATTTGATGATTTTTTAGTACGAAAATGACAACCATTTGGCCATTTTGAATAGGATCGTCAAACCAATATATCTATGACATGATGTATAATATTTAAAATTTGAACATAATCAGTCAAAACAAGTCGGAGATATGGCACGAGAACCACATTGATTAATACAAAATGGCCGCCAGTCGGCCATTTTGAATGTTATCTGAAAAACAAAATTATTTGCATCAAGGTCCCATAATGTCCAACGTATATACAAGGTTTGAACAAAATCCATCTGTAAACAACCGAGGAATGCTCGATTGTGATGATTTTTAGCAAAAAAATGGCCGCCATTCGGCCATCTTGAATCAGATCATGAAACAAATTGACGTGCATATGTATGATATCATGTATGGTGTATGTGTGAAGTTTGATTGTGATTGGTCCAGGCATTTCTAAGATACAGGTCTGGACGCACGCACAGACGCACGCACGCACGCACGCACGCACGCACACACGGAGGTCAAAACATAAGTCCTCGTTTTCAGACTGCGTCCGAACGGGGACTAATTACATAATGAGTAATTTCACTTTACCTGTATTGGTTCCTTTATTAGACTGGCGTGGCTTACAAGATATGGCCTTAGTCTGAGTGAACGGCTTACACAGCAAACTCTTGTTCTTCAAAATTTTAAGTGCAGGTGGTGGAGGTGGGGGTGGGTCGAGCTTGACAGGAGGCGTGTATGATATCACTTTGGGAACCGTTCGTACTGGTTTTGCCTTTATCGATGTAGTCAGTGGTTTTATAACTGTTGAGTTCTGGAGAGCTGGTTGAGTTTTGGTTTGTAGTCCATGGACATTTTGTATTTGGATATTGCCAGACCTAGTGTTATATGGTTTATTGCTTGGAGTACTCAAAGCTGGCATGGATGTGATACCAGTTGGTTGCACTGTAAACAATAGACCAGCATCAACATTAGTAGTGCCTTCCTAAATATCACAATTCACATATTATTTTAAGTAATTAAACACTGCTGCATTGATCACTAATGACATTGTTGTAATAAAATTCAGATATCTCAATCACTCAGCTAAATGATGGTTAAAGGCCCAATTCACTTGCCCCGGGCAAGTGTGAATTGGAGGTGTGGCTATTCTAATGCATGGTGTTAATCACTTGCATAGCCTATGACGCATCCTGTTTCAGCGGTCCAACATCACGTGACTTTGATTGACAGTAGTAATTATTCAAGATTAGTCGCGCATCCCTTTCCCCGGTTCATGTTTTTTACTGTTATTCGCCAAAATCTCAGCTCGTACACAATTTATTGTCATAAATATTACACACAGTCACTGCTGTGATATTCATAGACACATGCATCCACTTTGGCACGACATAATCGACGTGTAAGTTCGAGAAAACACG